ACAGGTATGAGGAGTCTCTGGAATCCAAATGGGTCACTTGTAAATTTTTTCCTGAGGTAATTGCATTAGAGTGTTAGATAATCTCTCTGTGGATTCCGAGTAGTTTTAATGCAATATCTAACTAAATTTGGCTTTGTATCATTTGTATTGGGTGGGGGAAAAAAAAGCGCTAGTCACTCATGATTGATACAATAGCATGGAAGGATAGTGTAGTAATGGCTTTTTATTAATAGCTTAGATTTTGTAAGTTCACCTTCTACAGGCTGCTGTTTCTTCCACAGGTAGTTTGAGTATAGATAGAGGGAATCATCAGTTGGTAGCAGTGCCTTAATTCACATCTTCTTGGCTTGGAGATTTAACCAGCACTCCTGAGACTTTGCCCTATTTGCGTAAATCAAAACCATTCATTAAGCAAACTCATAGAGTGTCTTCTATTTGCTAGCAGTACAAATATAGACAGCTCATGGTTGAGTGGGGGAACTATGTTAATCTAATAATCATGAGTAAATGAAAAATCATAGCAATAATAATACCATTATTTGTTATGACAGATTTTTTTTTTTCCAAGCTACCAGGTCTGGGATTCAAACTGCACAGTTGTCCATGTGGGATCCAGCCACCTTAACCACGATGCCTACTAACAGGCCCCAGACATTTTTTTTTTCATTTGCTGTAGGGTGCGTACACTCACTAGAGACAGACAGAGAAAGAGAAAGAGAGAGGGAAAGTGAGAAAGCACCTGTGGGGTGGGGAGGATGGCCATGACAATCCCTTTTCCTCCATTCTCCTCTCAGGATTTTGGACATGCCTGCACACATCTCCTCGCATTGTCACCAGGTCCAGAACTTAAACTGTACAGTCTTCCATGTGGGATCCAGCCACCTTAACCACCATGCCACCTGGCAGGCCTCAGATTTTTTAAAATAAATCTTTATTTGTTTTAATTATAAGAGAGTATGTGTGCTTGTCAGAGAGAGGGAGACGTAAAAAGCACCCCTCAATAAGGTGTGGTCACCCTGGAGTCTCTTCTCCATCCTTCCCTCCTTTTGGTACTTTGGGCATGCATGTATGCACACATCCTGACATATTCAATCCGCTGGGGCTGGGACTTGAACTGGACTACCATTGACCATATGGAATCTGGTTCCCTTAACCACATGGCTGTAAGGCCTGCACTGTTATTACAGACATTGAAAAGAAGCACCTAGGTACCTTTTAATATTTTATCAACAATTTTTAATATGTACATGTTCATTTTTTTTTTTTTAGGTTTTTACTATAGGGCACATGCACTCACAAGAGAAAGACAGACAGTGAAAGGAGGGAAAGTGAGAAATCAACTCCTGGGAGGATGGCCACACTGCAATCCCTTTTCCTCCATTCTCCTTCTGGGATTTAAGGCACACACACACACACACACACACACACACATACACACACACACACACACACAACACACACACCCACACAGTAAGATTTTCAAGCTACTAGGTCCAGGACTCAAACTATGGTCAGCCATGTGTGAGTCCAGTGTCTTAACCACCACACCACCTGCTGGCCCCAGTATCATGTATGTTGTAATCCTACCCTTCTTTGATCTCTTATTGAAGTGGAAGTGCTTTAAATTTGAGGTAGAGTAACTAAATTTCAGATGAGTTGTATGAGAAAGTGATTGTTGTCAATTATTTCCTTGAGCTGTTCTCACCAGTCTCATAGCCTAAACAATGTAAACTATTAATGGGCATTCAGTAGCACACTCTTGTTAAAATATCTATTACTGGGGTCCAACAGGTGGTGTGGTAGTTAAGGCGCTGGGCTTCTACATTGCCTACTGTGGTTTGAGTCCTAGACCCGGATGCTTGCTTTCTCACTTTCCCTGTCTCTCTCTCTGGTGAGTGCATGTGCCCCATAGCATATTTAAAAATAATAGCAAAGGGCTAGCAGGTGGCATGGAGGTTGAGGCACTGGACTCCCATATGGCCAACCATGGTTCAAGTCCTGGACTTGGTGGCTTGCTCTCTCTTTCTCTTTGATCAAACTGAAAAATGATAATAGTAAATAAAATTAAATAAATAATTCTTTTTTAAAAATAATAAATAAAATTAAATAAGTAAATAATTCTTTAAGAAAAAACAACAACAACAACAACAACAAAAAACTATCACCAGAGACATAGGTAATCCAGGCAGCCTAAAGCCATCTCCAGAATGTAGCATCCAGGATGGTTGACCATGGTTTTGATCTTGTTCTACCTCCCTTATAGGTAAGATAGGCTGCAGTGTGTTGGCCTTCTGGACCTGCTTGGGTGCCATTCCTTTTTCTCTCACTTTTGTGGTATATGTGAAGGTGACACACAATTGCTGCCTAAATGACTTATCGTCTATTGTAAGAAGTGAACGTACAGCTCTATCCTCTACATTACTTTGTGTCTGGCCAGTGTGAAACCCATACCTGAACCAGGGCAACCCAGCACTTCTTCTCGACAACTACCAGACTATAGTCAAGGAAGAGAACATCCCACCAGCTTCTCCTCCATGCCAGGCCAGTTGGGCTACTTTTTCTCTCCCAGATAATTCATTGAATTGACATTGCCAAGGGTCAAGTTTTTGCTTCCCTGTTTAGAAACCTAGATCACAAACTCGTACAGCCATTGAGTCTCTGTGGTCACCTAGACCAGCTCCTGCTAGCTGTAGATGAGGGAAGGGAACTTACTGCAGGTTATATAGAAATGGTGGATAGCATTGAAGCGCACAGCTCCTCTAACTCCTAGGCTGCTGCTCTTCTTTCCTGAGCCACATTGAGGATCATCTGACAAACCACTTCAGTGTTTATTTCCCATGTGGCCAGTAAATTGCCTTTGCCAGCTAAAGAGCAATGTCATTCATAAAAGATTCACCTGATAATCATTAAGAGTTCATTATATCTGGCTGTATTTCTTTTGCAAATTCCATTTTGCTGGTTTGCGTTGTCCGCATCTGTCACAAAATTTGATGATTTCAGATCACAATGCACAATGCCTCCAAGATTAAAATTCCCTCTCTAGCTGAACAGCACTCATTAGCCCAAGACAAGTAAACAGGCTGCTTCTCTCCTTCTTGACTTGGATAGTCAGGCAGTTGTATTTGGCTCTCACTGGATTTCAGGAATTACAAAGTATAAAGAATTATAATACCAGATACTCTCATTCAACCTCTTTCATGTGATATAAACAAAATGCAACATAAACTGTTACAAAAGTAAGAGCATATCATGGTTCGGAATTACACACTCTTGTAGCTATAGTATTCACTGTTATGAAAAGGAAAACCCACAGCCATTCCTCCACTGCCTGGCCCAGAAGGTTCACTCAGTTCTGTCATCTCTAGGTGGGGTCCCAAAAAGGCTCATCA